ATGTTGACAACAAAATTCGACCAAGAATATATTTTTTTGAACATGAGAAATTTCTATTATTTATCAGTTATGATGAGAATTTTTATGATAATAAACCGAGTGAGTAACTTTAAATCATTCTACTTTTTTTTCATAATAAAGTTATGGAGAGCCTTTTGCTCTAGCCTATTTGGTTACAGTTTATCTATTAGTGATTTTTTCAACGTCTTTGCTATATATATATATATATTATTTTTTTTATTTCGCAAGGAAAAAAACTCTCTGTAATCTAAAAGCTTGACCTATTTAGTGTAGTTTCATGTTTGTATCTCTTTATTCGAAGGCTCTGATGCAATTTTTATTTTTTTTAGAAAAAGGTTTATTATTGGTTCCCTTGGACCCCGTTGACACACGGGATTTTTTTGGTTCACTCGCTTAAATTTACCGAAATCACGTTTGTTCACGAAATTCAATATGATAAAGATATTAAAAAATCTGTACATAATCATTTGTTATATTGATGTAACATATTTTTGATGATCAAACACCAGTCCAAGGTGATGGATGAAATGAATGTTAAATTCGAAAATGGTTTATTGGAAGTTAGGTAAATAAAGAAATATTAATAATTTATTCTATTCTAAAAAAGAATATACAGACAAATTCGTTATAACGAGGTTTGACTAATTACTAAAATGTTTCTTTTCCTTTTTTTTTTAAGAAGAGATCTGCGGGGAACAACCTGTCGGGAGAGGGAGAGGGAGAGGGAGTTGAAAATATACTATTATTACTGAATAAATAAAAAAAATTCATATTTCTCGTGGAATTTTTGTTGCTTATAATAATTATTTGAAAAGCTTTTATTGTTAGTTTATAGTTTTTTATTTTTATTTTAATAATAAAATAAAATGTTAGATATAAAACAACTTACGATTGTATTCAATTAATCGTTAAAAATTAGCATGAAATTATATGTTATTTATTTGAGGTCAAAAAAGATCAAATCTTTTATGTTGGAACCGACTAAACATTACTGCTAATTATAATTTATTTATTAACAAATTTCCCCTTGTTGATCATCTCAAATTAATGACACACTAGTCAGGGATCTTTCCAAATTTGGAATGCGGC